CCTCAAACATGGTTGTCATATTACCTGATCATTATACATGTTTGTGTGAACGCCTACTCCGAGAATTTGGGTATGACACATATGTTATTATTGGCTCAGTAGATGTTTGGAAGGATCAGGTATTTGTTAAAAAAATTGACCGATTGTTGACTGAGAGAAAAAGTGATAAGCTTGATATTTTAAATAAAGCATGTTATGCTTCAAAAGAATGTGCTCTATATCTTCTGAGTGAAGGAGTCAAACCTGACAAAGATACACCATTGTGGAATTTGATTAGAGGAGATAGGTATGGTTATCATAAGGGAGATGTGAATGTACTTAAGGAAGTTGTTACATACTTGAATGATGAGAACAAACTTGTCTTGTTGAATAGAGCACACAAGAATGTGCTCTATATCTTTAGTGAGGTTACATCATGGTGGTCTTTGATTAGGTAGGAATGGTGATGGTAAGGGAGATGTGGATGTACTTAAGGAAGTTGTTACATACTTGAATGAAGAGATAAAACTTGTCTTGTTGAATAATGCTTGTGCTTCTGGTTCACAAGAATGTGCTTTATATCTTCTAAGAGAAGGAGTCAAACCTGACAAAGACACATCATGGTGGTCTTTGATTTCAGGAGATAGGAATGGTGATGGTAAGGGAGATGTGGATGTACTCAAAAAAGTTGTTACATACCTGAATGAAGAGATAAAACTTGACTTGTTGAAGAATGCATGTCATTCTGGTTCACAAGAATGTGCTCTATATCTTCTAAGTGAGGGAGTCGAACCAGACAAAGACACATCATGGTGGTCTTTGATTACAGGAGATAGGAATGGTGATGGTAAGGGAGATGTGGATGTACTGAAGAAAGTTGTTACATACTTGAATGATGAGAACAAACTTGTCTTGTTGAATAGAGCTTGTGCTTCTGGTTCACAAGAATGTGCTCTATATCTTCTAAGTGAGGGAGTCAAACCAGGGGCAAAGACATAAGGTGATCTTTGATTACAGGAGGTAGGTATGGAGGTAAGGGAGATGTGGCTGTACTCAAAAAAGTTGTTGCATACCTGAATGAAGAGATAAAACTTGACTTGTTGAAAAATGCATGTGTTAGTGGTTCAGAAGAATGTGCTTTGTATCTTCTGAATGAGGGAGTCCAACCTGACAAAAACACAATGTTGCATGTGGCAAAGGGAGGGAGTGTAAATTTGTTTAGGAAACTACTGCAGTATGGCATCATTCCAACATCGAGGGATGGTAACAATGACAATGCCCTACATAAGGCATGTCAGTATGAGAGAAACGAGATGGTGACCATGTTGTGTGATTCTTATCCATATTTGGTACATGACATGATTATGAACTTTCTGTAAAGAAGGTATCTTGTAATAGATTTTGAATGCTTGGATGTGTCTTACTCTAGATGTTTCTGAAGACTTGAAGGATTTATTACCCTTGTTAAACTGTGGGGATAATATTGTATACTTTTAGTGATCTTAGTAGCATGAAGGAATTAGACAATCATACCCCTACAAAGTTAGGGGGTTATACTGGAATCAGATTGTCCATCTGTGTGTCTGTATACAAATCTTGTCCGGTCAACTCATGCAACACTTGTGAACTGATTTTGCTGACTGTATGTTGGTGTGCACGCATTTTTCTTAAGCAACTACACCGAAATATTTTGGGCCATTTGTAAATGTGCAGTCAGTTTTTCTTTTCTTTCCTATCAATTTTATTCAAAGTTTATTGAATTGTGTAGCTTATCAAAGTCTGAAACATCAGATGTTTCCAGAATTGTCACTATGGAAACAGATATATGTTGGTACTGTTTTTTAAAAAATATTGGTTCTCCCTTTCTTGCCATGGTAACCAAAAGAAAACTTATGATGGGACCAAATTTTTCCAAACTTTAATTCCTAACCTTTTAAGTTGTGAACCAAATTCAATAAAACTACATGTAAATATTAGGAACCCTATGTAGGTTGTAGGTGTGAATGTTTTTTAAATAGACCATATAGGTGAGGGGGATTTACTTGCATGACAAAACAGCGGTTATGAATATTTCATTGTTAATGTACATTCAGTAATTTTGAAAGTTGTAACAATTCTAATGATACATTATTCATGGCATACCAAACAGGTTTCATTGATTTGTAAATTCCAATAGAAATATTGATGATTTTGTACAAAAAAATAATTTTAAAAATTCAATTTTTGTTTTGAATTGACAAAATTTTCACATTTTTTTCCATTTTTTTTTTAATAGTTCCGGTTTTTATAATATTTAAAATTGAATAATTGAAAGACTGGCAAACCTAAAGTTCTGATTGGTTTGAATTTTCACAATTTTTGTTTCATTGTTAAATAATTGTTTAAGATTATTTTTCCTATGTTTTCACACAAGAACATGTTTTTTAAGGTTTTATTTAGAAAATCATTGTTCAGCAGAAATTGTAGAATTTTGCTTGATTTGTCATTTAGTTTGAAGAAAAGAAAATTGATTTCCCTGTGATGAAGTCCTTGGAGGTGATGAGGATTTGTTTACTTTGTGTGTACAAATTGTATTTTGTATAGAATATTCACTTGTCACGGTGACATTACTTGATTTATTGATGTAAAACTGTGTAATACTTATATGTATGGTAGAGGTCAATATGATAAACATGCTGTTATAATACACCTGTAGGTGATATCTTTTGTCCCAAGGCTCCATAGTTAGAATACACCTGTAGGTGATATCTTTTGTCCCAGAGCTCTAGTTCTGTTACTTTTCAGCGACAAATCTTCCCTCCAATTCATCTCTCTGATACATTGTTATAATACATCTAATATCTTTTGTTCTAAAGCTCTGTCAATTTTCAGGGACAGATCCTCCCTCTGGTACTTCTCTATGTTTCAACAGAACGATAGTTAAATACACCTGTAGGCGATATACATTTTTTGTAAAACACCTGTAGGTGTTATCCTTTGTCCTCATTCTCTGCTACTTTTCAGGTATGTAGCTTCCCATGTTTGGTCTCTCTAGAATAATTATTGTGGTACAGCTGTAGTTGAATAGTCCTTAGGTTTCATTACTTTCCAGGAAAGGAGCTCTTTTTTAATCTATAAAAGGAGTGTTTTAGCCTTTAATTGGTGAGTTTTTTTCCTCCTGGAACCAATCAAATTACTTTGTTTGTTCCTGGATGGGGTGCAGTGAGTGAAAATGATCATAACCCCTGGAGTATCGTGGATGGGGCAGCTATGAAGATGTTGTCAGAATGTGTTGTATTTTGATTCTGTATTGTTTTTCCATAAATGTAAACAATGAAATAATGTATTCTTGTTTAATATCAATACTTTGTATAAATATTTTAGTTATCACAACATGGTACAGAAAACAATTTCCATATTTTTAAAATGTAAAAGTATGGTATGTAAATGATATTGTATTCAAGCATGTATACACATGATATCTATATATTTGAATATTGTGAAAACAAATGCATTATGAATATTTGTAAATGTGAAATTAAACTTGTCAGGATTGTAAAGAACACATGCCTCTTAATATTTATTGGAGTTATAAGTAGACTGAGTGTCCTGTTTTGATATGGAGAAGGATCTGAAAAAATGCTCAAGCAACTGATTCAGCAGAGCTAGTATACTGGTACTTGGGAGGTAATGCTTTCAAGTTTTTATCAATATAAGTGAATATGATTGAAAGGTACCAAGGGTCAAACACAAACTTTAAAAAAGAAAATCAGAATATTCCTCCTAAAGTTCAAAACTTCATTGCTGACCATAGATATGTATTTCATAGATGACATCAGAAATCAACTGGCACAGAACTTGAAAGCATATTTGAATGCATGATATGCATTTCACCAGAGTGCAAAGATGAGTTTTATTGCAAAAAGATCCACAAGGCACAAGTACGAGCCAGGAGAAACCTACACATGAAATTTGAAAACGCTCCAGTACTTCTGGGGTTACAAAATGATAACAAACTTTCTTTGTTAGAATCAAAGATGGCTGCCTGTCCAACAGGTTATTTTTCTAATCAGTTAGAAAATTAAAAGGACAAAACTGGGAACAAGAGAACCTTCATATGAAATTTAGAAAGATCCATTCAGTACACCTCTCAAGAAAATGCAAATAAATCCATTCTACAGGACTTGGCTTGATATGCATGGGACTCTCCTCTTTTACAAATTTTTGAGAAAATTGCTCCTTATTGTGTTGACAATATTAATATAAACACAGCAAAAAAACGTATTTTGATTTTTTTTTTGTTAAATGAGTCGAATCTAATGTGAGACATGTATATAAGCTACACAGAATGTAGGAATCTTAAAAACACTTATCAACAGAAAAAGACCGACAAAGACTGGAGACAGAGAGGGTTAGTATCATTTCCTCCTATTGGGCACCAATTATGTCCATCTGCATTAGTTTTATTTAGGATCAATGAAGGCTCGGTTCAAAGTCATAAAATATGTAGCATTTAAATCAGTTTCTCAGCAAGCGTAAGTATTCTAGCAACCAAATTTAGAATGTACATAACATACATTGTATATGTCTGCGAAGGACTTAAATTGGGATCAACATTGAAATCAAAGACCAAAAAAAAAAAAAAAAAAAATACCAACAACAAAAATTTGAATACTGCAATTTTTGTACAATTTGTTTTAGAGATGAAAACCATTTAATTTTGATGGTGATTTAGAATGGGTCAAAACCCTATAAATAGCTTCCTGATACTTTAATTGTTTTGAAAACATCTTATAAAGAAAACAGTGAAGCCATATATTCGATGTAAATAAATCTGTTTCCAGTCAATTTTTTTCTTAATTTCCCTTTAATTTACAGGTTATTATTAAAATGGGGATGGTGAGACTTCTCATTCTGCCAGCAGCGGCTAATGATCACTTCTTTTTGCAATCATTCTTAAAATTAAACATGTATAAAAAGACTGACTGATAAACATGTTCCTAAGTTTTCGTAAAGAAATAACTCAACTCCATTTGTTTCCTGGCTTATCCCCACTTTGTTTAATTAGACATACTACACATATCTACATCACTAGTCGATTACATCAAGAGAAATGGCTACCTTGTGTATAATATTTACATATCACATATCTGAAAAATCAAATATTGCCTAATGCACTTATTGCAAACCATTCATATGATAAAGTTCCTAACATGTACTTATACATGTATTAGCATTACAAGATATAAATTTACTTTGGAATCAATAATCAATCGCTGAACACTACTGGGAAATCCTCAAATAGTTCAGAGAAACTTAAAGTGATCACAAACATTTCACTCCATGTCAGTCATTATGGAAATTTTTCATTGGTCGGCGTCTGTCCATGGTTGGTGTGGTCACATGACTCTGTAATAGCAAAATAAATGCTGATATTTCATATCGGTCAGATTTATGTTTCATTTTCCATCAGGCTTCAGATATAACTGTAACAAGTGTAAAATAATTATAATCAAATGTATTATCTTTTACCTTCATACATATCACAAGAGTAATATACCCTGAAATGTTTTTCATTGGCTGCAGTCAGAAATATATTGTGATGTCATAATATAAATGATATTATGTCGCGAATTAAAAATAGTGCAGTAACATGGCTGCATCCATTTGATTTTGTCCTCCACATCTTTACTTTAAATCCTGTCAAAATGTACCTTTTCTGAGTTTTGTGATAAAAAGTATCTTAAATTTGAAATTAGGGTCCTATATCGTCTTAAATTAATATTCCAGTATCAAAGAAACAATAGTTATGACTGAAATAACCAGTTATGTCTGTATGTAAATCTATCTGATGATGAGTTTGGGTGAAAAAATGACATTTCAAACTTTAGATGGGTTCACTTTCAGTATAATTTTATCAGAGTAAATTTATTATCAGTATATTTCACAGGGACTTGGCACAAACTTTTAACCCATGGTCCATATATATGTATTATAGTCACTATAATACATATATACAGAGCTTGGGTTGGGAATTTGTGCCAAGTCCTGGTGCTTTCAATATAGAAAAAAAAATTCTATCGAACAAAAATTTTGTTTTTTTATTTATAACTTCATTTACCCTGGTCACCATTTAGAGACATCACTTTCGAAATTTTGTCAGAGATATTCTTACAAAAGACCTAATCACTGAAGAGGAGACGGTACTATAATCAGCAGTTCAGTACTTAACTGGATTTCATTTTTTCGTCTAAATAGATAACTTTTCACACCAGTTACTATATAAGATAATACTTTAAAGTAAAAGACTTATTGGTTTGGAAAATGATACCATGAAAAATTATTAATAGAAATTTGGAGAGCTTTACATGTATTTTCAAAATAATTTATAAAAAACAGTAAAGTATATCCCCTCCCAAGGAGGGAATGTGTGACCCTGGGACCATTAAATTCAAAACAATGGTAAAGCACCTTAAGATGCTTGAATACCTTATCTGGGTTTTGAGAAGAAGGTTTTTGAAATTTGTCCTTCCCCTTATGCCCCTGAGTGGTGGAAACAACATAATTCTCCATTTAGTGGATCGCAATTGGTCACCATGAGACTTTGTCTCGGGCTTAGGTGACCTAAAATAATTATCACAGTGACTTTCAAATTGATACATTTATGTAATTCTACTGAAGATATACCCATATATTAAATGTGACATCCGCCAGACTCCTAATATCGGAGTGATAGAAATTCAAAGCCTCAGCAAGACATCCTAAAGATCGATGGAAGACTTAATTATGTTATAGTGAAAGTATAAAACTAATGGTTCTTGATTAGTGGAAAGGATATGCATGTCTGTTAGACAATTCTGTATCATGAGATACTGACCTGACCAACACCATCTCGACTGTAGTACCGCCTCTCTATCACCTGTAAATGTTTATGTATATTTGTTACACTTTTGTCAAAATTAAAACCATATTTGAAAAAAGTAGAGATGAATATATTATATAGGTCTCTGGTAAACACGCTTTTAGAAGATACAACTATTATCCAAAGGAGAAGTGATTACAGTGATAACTATACACACATCCTTGAGTAAAATCATTGTTACATACAAGGTAATTTCTCATTTTGACACAATACTGTTTCTTATAGTAAAGTTATATGAAAAATTATTAACGATGAATTACGAAGAAAATAAAAACAAAAATTGATGAATAAGTTGAAATGAGTCTTAAATAGGCCATCAACAAAACATGGACATAAATAAGTCTGGTTGTATATATCCAAGAAGTAACGTAATCTGTGCTACATTTTTCTGTCTTGTCCAGTGAGTGTCTCAGAGATGTATACTCCTTACTAATGGGTCATTTTGCCCAAAGTGATTTCCTATCACATCTAAATGCACACAATGCAAGGGAGGTAATTTTGTCAAATTTTGATATTTTGGACAGATAAAATGTATCATTTAGATTGTATGTACATTTTCAACAATAACATGCGAGAAAAAGAATCTATAACTTGTATTTTTGCAAAATGAATTCATCTCAATTTAACATTGTGTAATATTTTGTCACAGAACATGAAATCTCATCTGAAATATACATATACATGTATAGTTAACAGATCTATACTTTTAACTGGAAATTTAACAACTGTAATAACCTAATAGGCCCTAATCTAACATAATTACCTTGTCAAAGAATCGTGATATTTTTACAGCATTTGTTGACCCTGGTGACAGATGTTTGACATTGTGACAACTCTGAAGATACAAAAGCAAAAAACGTTATATCATTGTTAAGATACATGTAATATGAAGCTTTACTCCAAGTCATGATTTTTTTATTACCTGGATGTGTAATTAATAAATTTCAATGATACCAAATATTAATATGTACAAGTTCAGAGTACAGGTCATCCTAGCCTCAGCTAGTGAGAAATAAAAATTATAACACATCTTGCTTGCATTCAGGCCACATACCGTAAATATTCGCGTATAGTGCGCAGGTACTTTTTGGAGATCAGATTAAAAAAAAAAAAATCTACAGAAAAAAATACGAAAAAAAATTAGATTCACTGTAATGCTAGCATGAATGGCAGATGATTAAAACATTCAAAATTTATTTTCTTTTATTTTTTTGTTGTTTTTATCTCCAAATTATCATATAAGACCGACGACTTTTACATATAACAATGTGAAGGGAGGTAATCCAATATGGCGGATGCAGAACTCGGGAATGATAACCCCAGGAATGGCATGTACCTGCCTATAGTGCGCACCCCCTTTTTGACACGACAGTTTCAGCTTAAAGAAGTGTGCACTACACGCAAATATTTACGGTACTTCACAGTAGAATAAGAAAATCAAATCAGAACAGAATGGGGTTATGAATTTTTTTTTTCAGCTCCTATAAATCAAATGCCAGAGGGGTCACAATATTGTTCAAAAATAATTTTGAATTTAAATTCCAGAAACTTAAAAAAGATCAAGCTGATAATTTTTTAGGCCTAGAGATTGAAATTGACTCTGTAAGTTTGACTTTAATAACAGTATATGGTCGAAATAAAGACGAACCTGACTTCTATAATATCATCTCAGAAACAAAATTGAAGAGTTTGACAACAATAGTTCCATCATTAGTGGTGATTTCAATCTTGTTCTAAATCTTCAGCTTGACTATGGAGGAATATAATTTGGTAGATATTTTTAGAGAATATCATCCAAACATAAAAAAAGATACACATGGAGAAAATAACATCCTCTTAAGCAATCCAGATTGGACTATTTTTTGTTCATTGACACAACATTATTTTTTGTTACATCTTTGATAGAACCTAGCTATAAGTATGATTATTCTTTCACAAAGGTAGTACTGAGATTTAGTGAATTTAAAAGAGGGAAGGGTCTTTGGAAGTTCAATAATTCTCGTCTTTATGATACAGAATAGTGGTAAAGCACCTTAAGATGCTTTCACCTATGAAGAGCATTTGACTTTGCCCTATCTGGGTGTTGTTATACAAATACATACAATACCAAATATCAATATGTACAAGTTGAGAGTACAGGTCACCTTAGCCTCAGCTAGTAGGAATTTTCCTTTAGTCGAGTGGTAGAGTGTCCGACTAGAGACCTACGTGTCACTACATAAAATCATGGTATGGTTAGGGTTTTACAACTCCTTCCTACGACTGGTGCTGTTGACCACTAAGAGATTAAAAGCTACGGGACAATATGATGCTTCCTTGGAGTTACCAAACCAGGGTTGTTGCTGTTTTCAGGACCAGGGTCCAAGATTTTGTGAAGGAGGGAGTCCAGTACTAGTCACCTTATTAGCCTTGGCACTAGGATCCAAGGATAGTGGGAATTTTCCTTCAAAAAGTGCTGGAATGTCTGGCTAGAAGCCAAAAGATCGCAAGTTTGAATCCCAGCTGTGGCAGGAAATTTTCATTACTTCTTCTTATTACAAATATATACTTTTAGAGTTTGGAAATATAATTGTGCATTGTATAATTGTCAGTTTACTATGTAAATTCCTGTTTATAATAATCATGTTTGAATCTGATTCAAACTTACTCAGTTATCATTTATATGAAAGCATACTCTGTTATATACACATCAAATGACTGAGTCATCAATTCCTGCGCTCATTATTATATCAATGATGTGTAATAGATTAGTGTGTACCTGCATATTCCATAGGCTTTTTTTATTTTCAAGAAAGATATCTTACAGGCTCCAGAGTGAAGAACTATGTTTTGGTTATTTCGTTTTGATGAAATAGTACCACACATCCTTAAGCCCAAGTCTACTCACACAGAAAAAATAACAAATCTCACAGATGAAATTATTTCTCTAATAAAACATTTTCTAAAACAATTATTTTTTATCAAATTGAATATATCTATAAAAGGATCTACTCTTCCATCATTTATTTCAATTTAAGGTTACAATGAAAGCATTTTCTGCTTTGCACACATCAAATGATGTGTCATCAATTCCTGTGCTTGTTCTTGATTCACCGATTTGTAATCAGTTAGTGTGTACCTGTACATTTTATAGGTAAAACCTTTTAAATTTTTGATAAAGATGTTTTACAGACACCTTGGAGAAAAATTCTACTTGAATAGATGTAGAGAGGCATAGAAACATAGCATACATCCATAAGCTAAAGTCTGTACTTAAAGTTAAAATAATGACAATTGAAATTATTTCCCCAATAAAACATCATTTACAATACTTATTCTGTTAACAATAATTATTCTGTTAACAAAGATTATTGCGTTTACAATACTTATTCTGTTAAGTAATATTTCTACATTATAAATATAGACTTAAACTTTCCCTCGTTTTTTTAAATAACAATTATGGTTACACACACTATGAAATCAACTCCATAGTATTTTTACCGTTGTTTCTGTAAGTTCCACTGTAATAGGACCCACTTACAAGATTAAGTTCCTCTGCTCCACATTCCTCTGCCATGCTGGATGCCTTGGTAAGGAAATTTTCTCTGAGACTTTGGGCCAGATCAGCTTTTGTTCCGACGACTAAGATTGGAATCTGGTTTCCAGCAAATTGTTCAGGGTCATATTCATAACTAAAGCCCACAAAACAAACAAAAAAATTCTGTTTCAACTGTAAAACAATATTTAATACAAGCATGCAGATTGACTTGACATTACATAACTGTATCTAATGTATATTATATACTGCAAAAAAAACCCACATTTTTGAGCAATTTATTTTGGTTCAATCCCCACGAACATGGCAACTTTAAAACATAAAATGAAAGACTGAAAGATTCACAAAAGTATTCACTGGGACTGTAATGGTTAAGTGATTCCTTGACCCACTATAACATCATATCCATTCTCCCATTATACAGCATGGTTAAGTGATTCCTAGAAACAATCTCAGTATCTTTCCCTTTATTTTCCCTGGAACTGTCACAGTCAAGGGATTTCTAAAACCCACCACAGTATTTTACCAATTTTTATCCTTAGGACTGTCATGGTTAAGTAATTTCTAAAAACCATCTCAGTTTCTTAATCATTATTTTTCCTGGGACAATCACGGTTAAGTGATTCCTAGAATACACCACAGTATCTTACCCGTTATTTTCTTTCGGACTGTCGCGGTTAAGAACTTCCTGTAACCATTTACGTAAATTATGATGAGATTTTCGGTTTGTGAGGTCATGGACTAGAACAATACCTACAAAAACAATGAAATGTTGAAAACTAAAATTACTGAAACTAATAATTACATTTTCTACAAAAGAAAAGCAAAAGAATGCAAATTCACAGAATGCATATCATAAAAGACATCCTTCAGCTCAGAGCTTTGTATTCAAAAAGATTTTATGAAGCATCTTATTCTTAAAGAAATTTTCTTCAATATTGTAAAAATGGAAAGAAAAGCAAAAATATTTATTCATTGAATTCATTACTTGTCCTTGATATTAGTCCACTATTCTGGAAAAAATCTTTCTTATGATCAGCAGAAATATATGTTGACATAGTTTCTTATCTAAATTAAATTAATAGGTTAGTTTTTCACCATGTTTTTGATAATAATATAATTGTGCAATTTTACCATGTACTGAATCATAAAATTTTCTGCTGCTATCTTCTTACCATGTACTGGATTATAAAATATTTCACAACTATTTTCTTTCTATTTTCTTACCATGTACTGGATTATAAAATATTGCACGACTATTTTCATGGCTTGTTGACCCACCAACATCCCACAATTCTGCAAAGTATGTCTTCTGTAAAGGCGTTCCAGCTTTGTATTCATGGAACTGTAATGATATATAATAAATAGTTTTGTATATCTTAGTTTATGAAATATATTAGACTAAAGTGACTGTCAATGAAACATATAGATGTTCCCTTCACTATCGTTTCCCAAGATCAGAATTTATCTGAAATGAAATAGGCACAAAGATATCCATCAATATTTTTGACATTATAGTATCTGAATCATGCTTTTACTGCGATACTCATCCAAAATTTTATCTTTAATTAATGAGACTCAGAAATTGTGTTGTGGACTTGAAATTTTTCTCAGCGTCAAAATCAATTCATTCTTGAAAGAAAATGGGAGCTATTTTACAGATTGATGGATCGAGTCAATCCTCACTGGTTATTTGTTAAGAAGGCAGAACAATATAACTGGTAAAGCAAATCTGACAGAGTTTATAGATAAGCAAAAATATCCATTTTGTCCTGTCATGGACATAATCATATTGCCTACTGCCTGGAGAATAAGCCTTTGTTCATGAAGCTTGTACAACTGTAAGTTTGTTCTTTTACAAAAAGATTGGACTCATTTGAATATTATTTACTGTAGCAAGAGGATAGCTTATCTGATGAATACTTCAAAGACATTGTGATTGGTTAATTGCTTTGATTGACAATACATATAAATAATATGCAACCCAACACTGTAACTCTCCAACATGCCTCAAGTCTCATTATCTTTTGTCTTGAGGAAATGAGATGTCCAAAGCATATTGATAATTTTGTCATATTGATTGATACCACAGCTTGTTGACTTTTTCTTCTTAAAGGTTCCTGGAAAGGTGTCAAGTTAGTTTTGATCCCCATTCTAAAAAAAAAAAAGAGTTTACTTGCAAAAAAAAAAAAAAAATCATTGTTACTAAAAGTCAGTTCTACCTCACCTTGACTTCTACTGAACATCCGATGGTCCAGCCAGGATTGCTTGTTGTCTCATTGTGACAAATCAGGTGAACTAGTGATGTCTTCCCAACTCCTACAAATCAATGAAAAATAAACATTTTCACATTGAACACTTTTGTATAAATAATTTCCCTTTATCATATTTAAGCATCTGAAAAACAGGTGTTTCAGAAAGTAAGCCATCATCAAAATTTGAGTAAAACTGAAAATTATTTAAACACAAGCTGTTTAAGATGAATTTAATCAATTGAAACTGGAAAATCAAGTGACAGGCCAAAAAGGTTGAAGTCAGCTGCAAATATCACCATCATTTCCAGGTATATATACAGCACACGTACATGTAATGATAAAAAAACAATATACAGTTTTGGGCTAACACACCTATAGATATGTGCAAGTGGTAACAGGTCACATGGAGGCAACCTGGTGACTATTCTGTTATTCTTGTTAATTACATGGGGAATAACTAAATTTCTTAAATAGAAACACATGAAGTTCTTTCAACTTTGGCACAAAAAAAAAAGAGCGAAATTTTCAAAACATGAAAATGAATCTTCGAATCATATTTGAAGTTGATCTGTTGATAACTATTTGTGATATTGAGCGGACACTGTTCTGGTAATTGAATAAGGGACCCGAACTCTTTGAATTACAATATGAAAATTATGGTGATCAAATTCAAACTTGTCGGAGCTACATGTATCACAGTATTGAAACCTTTATGAAATTCAAAGTTGATGCGTTGATAGCTTCTAAAGTTATCAAGCGGACACCGCGTTTACTTGCCCGCCCGCCCGCTCACATAGTATAATACGACCCGTCTTCTTCTGGCGTATGAAAACTTCTTTTGTGCTGAACTTTGAATCTGTCTTATCTCAGGATTCAATATCTATTGGTCATTTGCACCGATTAACCAAATTTTACGCACCAGAGTCTCCTACAACTACGATCTTGATTTTGTCCACGGCAGCCATCAGTTTGACCAGCTAGTGTCGGCTTTGAGTGACATCTAAATATCTATCAGCTGACGATAGAACATACACGATTTCATGTGTGATACACCAGGAAGTTTATGCTCGGAACAGGGGAGACTATTCTAAGCACAACTGTCAGCGTGGCGTAAACTAAACTAAAGATAATTATGTCGGATAATTTTAAACATTACCGAATAGTTTAAAGGGCAAATAGTTACGTATCTCTTAATCAAATTATGTCAGAACAGGTAATTAAGTAAGTCACTAGTATCTTGTATTAAGAAAGGTGGACCAAACAGCAACGATAACTTGTGTAGCTTTACGCTGTAGATGGAACCGGGATCAACACTCATGCAGGTACCAGATCAGTGACCATCACGAACGTCACATATAATAGCAGCACCGAACACATCAATATTAGTTACACAAGATACAAAAGTACCATCACTTAAAACACACACAACACAAGCACCACAGAAAAGTTACACACATGCAAAAATAGCATCACATGCAACGATTACATCATAAAAGATAAAAGTAAAAAAATCATGACCTTTATAATATTGTAAGAAATTTAATGTTTATTTTTCATAATAGATAAAGTATATAATTCAACTTCGTTTCATGAATACATGTAAATGGCCACATTGCTTGCCATATTGAGACCATGGTGTGAGACACAATCCTTGAAACATGCAACATTGCCCCCTAAGTTCGGATAGCTTCGTTCTTCCGTTTTCTTCTTTAATAATGCACACTTCTATATTTTGATGCTGTTTCAGTGTTCCGGGTACCCAGTCTATCAATTAGGTTATCATGCGATAAGGTAGTGTCCGGATTTGCCAGGAACTGCCAAAATGGCGTGAGTACCTTCCTTACCTAGCCCTTTGTTTTAACAAAAGGGAAATTTTGGTATTGAACGATGTACGTATTATAATAAACGATATTATGATCTATCACATATACATTTTTTGACGGTCCGTGTATACTTATCCATTTCATACAATATAAAATGTACGTGTTATACGTAAGGCACGTTTAATCTTTCAAAATGTGTTACCCGCGTTTTTGTACCGTATACCGTTATTTCCGCTTGACGTCTCGCCGTGAGCTCAATGGTTTTGTGACACGAAATAGTTATAAACATAGTTGTGGAGTAGATTATCTCGCATGACACTGGATTTTAAGTCCTTATAATTTTGACGGATTTCGACCCTCCGTGTATACTTATCCAGATAATAGTTGTCAGATAATGGTATTAGCTGAATTTAGAAAAAACAAAGTGTCATAAGTTTTTTTTTCTCTATTAATTATAGTTAAGATATCTTGCGTCGTGTGATTCCGAGTCGAATCGAGTCATTAAGTTTTCTACGAGTCGTATCGTGTGATTTATAGGTTGTTTGTATAATTATGATGTATGTTGATCGTAAGTTATGAAGTCGGGTTACTCGTATTTATTTCACTCTCATTTCTGAGACTGACGTTTTCGAATATCCATGTCATTACAAGTTTAACATTTTTACATGTCATTGTGTCGTGTAGCTTTCTTTCTTTTTCTCTCTGTAATTTTACTTTATCATTTATTTATGCCTTGCATTATTTTCATCATTATTCAAGTTAAATTAATCTTTTTCCCCTATGAAGTAAATACATCCTTGTTCATGTTGGTCATTAATAATATTGTTGCTACAATATTTTTGTGTTCCATACAGACAACTACATTCTTTTATCTATCATCGTAATTTTTTCCTCTTGTATTTTATTTTTGTGTGGAAAGGTTCCCCCTCCAAACCACGAGAGTTCAAAATGTGCTTCTTCTTACCTTCAATTTGCACTCTTATCTTCTTTTACCTATCACTTTTATCCCATCCTTGTCTCCTTTGCTATCTTCCATTAATTCTATATCTTCAGATGACGTCATACCTTTATGAACATATTGTTACCCCTGACCACCTTGTCACACGTTTTCATAGATATTATGCCGTTTACCCTCCATGATGGGTTGTTGTATTGATATATGGAGGTGTGCCATATGTGTATTTTATTGTAAGTCACTTGCTTTTAGTAAGAAATTGCATTTCATTGATAAGTCTGACTCATTTCTTTCCTTTTTTAAAACCGTTGTAAATTCATGCATATTATTTGCATACTTAGCAAGTATGTAAGCATTGATAAAACAAAACAATATAGTCCTTTTTTAATTCGGAAGTTTGTATTGTGTGATAACAATTCAAATTGTTATTCTATCTTGAATACATGTTTTTATACATCCCACTTTAAAGTGATAAATTTTCACAGATTGATGAAATCAATCAATTTAGTTAGTATCTTTATCGTTTCCTGTGTTAGGAATTTCCATTTCTTTATCATGCTGATATTTTTGATATTGCTGTGCATGGATGTTGAATCGAATCCTGGCCCTGGTTCTGAAGAGCTTTCAATATTTCATCTAAATGTAAAAAGTATCAGAAATAAGCTAGATTTTATTGATGATTTTGATGGTGAATTTGATGTTTTATGTTTTACTGAAAGTCACTTAGACGAAAATGTTTCCATAGATGACCTACTTATACCGGGATTTCATTCTCCTTTTAGGCGTGATAGAAATGTTGCTGGTGGGGGCGTTATTGTTCACGTAAATAATTTACTAAAAGTAACTAGATTAACAGACCTTGAATATAATAGCGATGAAACCATCTGGCTAAAAATTACTTTTCGTAACTTCACTTATATAGTTGGCACCATTTATAGACCTGAAAATTCTGTTTTACCATTTTGGGACAATTTTAGATCAGCTATTCATAATACGTTTGATATGTCACCAAATATTATTATTACAGGGGATTTCAATGTAGATTTATTAACTGTTTCACCAACGCATACGTTTGTAGATATAATGAATTCCCCCAGTTTGTCAAATGTTATATTAGAACCCACTCGAGTAGGTCATACGAGATCAAGTTTACTTGATCCAATTCTTTTAAGTGAATCTCTTTCCTGTATAGAATATATGTAATAGATATTGATAGGTCAATCAGTGATCATGATGGTTGTACGGTTAGTGTTAAACTTCCATTTTCTTTTAAATCAGTTTACAAACGCAAAGTTTGGTTGTATAAACGAGCAGATTTTGGTAAATTAGAGATAATTTACATAAAACATCTAGAAAAACAAGGTCAACAATATGAAGAAGTACTACAGACTAATATTTGACGAAAATGTCCATGGGCTAATAGATAAATATTCTTCGTCCGACCCAAAAGCATGTTGGAGATTAATTAAACGTCTAATGAAATCTAGTGGTTCATCTGATACAATTCCAACTCTTATAGATCCAATGACGGATGAAATAATTATGAGTGATAAGGATAAAGCTGATGTACTTAATGATTATTTTTGTAGTAGAAGTCGTATTGATGAGGATAATGTCCCAGATCCCATCATAGCCCCAAAAATAATAAAAAGTTTAATTCTATCAGAGTGAACTATACCAAATTTAAAGATGTCTTTGAAATATTGAAACTTAGCAAAGTCATCATATATTAAAGAATGTCTGTAATGCAGTTTGTAAACCTCTTGAGTTATTATTTAATATGTCATTGTCTACTTGTATTTATCCTAAATTATGGAAATTAGCAAAAGTTATGCCACTATTCAAAAAGGGTGATAGACATTCGCCATCAAATTATCGTCCAATATCTCTCTTTTCTACCGTTGGCAAAGTTTTGAACGTGTCATATTCAAACATATCCACAATTATTTTATTGAATATTTCTTGTTCTATAAATATCAATCAGGTTTTTACCTGGCCATTCTACAGTGTTTCAGCTTATTGAAATGTATCATAATATTTGTTTATCTCTTGAAGAAAAAAAAAGCATACATGTATAGTCTTTTGTGACATATCGAAAGCTTTTGATCGTGTTTGGCATAATGGTTTGTGTATTAAGTTAAGATCCTATGGTATAGAAGGAGAGTTGTTGGCCTGGTTGAAAAATTATTTACGTCAAAGGCAACAACAGGTATGTGTTAATGAATCTCTATCTAAATTGGGTTTTATTGCTGCTGGGGTTCCCCAAGGTTATATCATAGGTCCGTTATTAGTTCTTATCTATATTAATGATATTGCAGATGTATTTAATTCAGCATCTCTTCAATTCTCTTCATCTTCCTGTCACGAAATTCAAACTATTCTGAACAATTCAGAAAATTACCGACATGTTTAATACTAGGAAACGTAAATTTATGAAACTATACGTTTTCTGAGTCTATTTTTGCGTCTCCACAATTTAGAGTTATCCGTGTAGTAATTGTAGTGATGACTTTATATGGACAGTCTTGACTCGCTTATTTTTAGTATCACCTTGTTCCGTATTATAGTATGTCCCGCGATTGAAACAGGAAATAGATTGTGGTTTATATTGATTGGTTAACACCTATTGTATTGAATAAAGTTATTGACATTACCGATTTCAAGTTTTTAATCAAAGGACGAATTCGTTCTCTTGATATGGGAGCTTTCTTTTCCGTGAAAGGTGAACGCCGGTACAGATATATATACTCAACAAAAAAGAAAGGTAAACATGTTTCCTTGACGAATACTTGTAAATGAGTGAAAACAAAATGACGTTTGTGCAATATTGGTAATGTTTTACATTACAAAATCCAAGGGGGTTACCAAAATCATTCAAGCGTGAAAGTCTGTATTAGCGAAATAGCTGTAAGAGGTTTTCTGCGACTAACTTGTATCTTCGCTTGAATTTCATAAACATTCAAACTGACAACTGTTCCTTAGATTCTAAGGACTTAGAAATCACCGAATCTTGCTATCTATCAACTTTATCATTATGCCCCGGCTGTCACCAGTACAGAGAGAAAGGGCTGTAGGCATGATCCAGGCTGGGGAGTCTCGCCGTCGAGTTGCACGGCATTTTGGTTGCAGTGTTAAGACAATTTGCCAGTTGGTAAGTCGTTTAAACCAAACTGGGTCAACATCCGATCGTCCCCGAAGCGGCCGACCCCGTAAAACGACCGCCAGGGATGACCGTCGTATACGATTGATACACTTGTGCAATCGATTCGTAACCGCAGTAGGG